TTACTATCAACTGTTTGCGAAAAAAATACGCGCCAAATATTTTTCATCAAACTATATCATCTGTCTCTTATACACATCTAGATGTGTATAAGAGACAGCCTACAGAGTCAGCGAATATGAACATCGAAAAAAATTGTATTTTTGAAGCACTGCTTAAGCAGATAATTTGTTGAGGAGTTATTTAATGTGATTACATTTGCCTATCGAAAACACACGTTTGAAAAAATAATTCTACACCTTCTAGATCCCGAGATATCTAAAAAAATACGGATTTTACTATCAACTGTTTGCGAAAAAAATACGCGCCAAATATTTTTCATCAAACTATATCATCTGTCTCTTATACACATCTAGATGTGTATAAGAGACAGCCTACAGAGTCAGCGAATATGAACATCGAAAAAAATTGTATTTTTGAAGCACTGCTTAAGCAGATAATTTGTTGAGGAGTTATTTAATGTGATTACATTTGCCTATCGAAAACACACGTTTGAAAAAATAATTCTACACCTTCTAGATCCCGAGATATCTAAAAAAATACGGATTTTACTATCAACTGTTTGCGAAAAAAATACGCGCCAAATATTTTTCATCAAACTATATCATCTGTCTCTTATACACATCTAGATGTGTATAAGAGACAGGCTCAAGGGATGGCCAGGGACGTTCGACCTTCGGTGTTGCCGTCGCAACAATAATATATATGAATTAATATACATATATATTAATAATATGTGTTAATTAATGTAAAAACGGCCATTAATATCTACGAATAACAATACTAATATGTAAAAGGTGATTTTAATGAAATTTTAGTATGATATAGTTTGATGAAAAATATTTGGCACGTATTTTTTTCGCAAACGGTTGATAGTAAAATCCGTATTTTTTTAGATATCTCGGGATCTAGAGGGTGTAGAATTATTTTTTCAAACGTGTGTTTTCGATAGGCGAATGTAATCACATTAAATAACTCCTCAACAAATTATCTGCTTAAACAGTGCTTCAAAAATACAATTTTTTTCGATGTTCATATTCGCCGACTCTGTAGGATTATTTTTATTAATATAGTATATAAGTGCATGAGCAAATTGTGTGTAAAAATTTGTATACAAGAAAATAGAGATTTATGTCAATATTTTACTTTTGCAATTTAATAATTTCAATAAAACTGTGTCATCGGCGGACTCAAGATCTGAGAATATTTTCCTTCCGAAACCATAAGATAAGTAGCTAAGATTAATAAATAATGAAATAACGTAATACGTCAAGGCCCCGCCCTTTTTCATTCCGCATTACAAAACATCCGATGTGCACGGGAGTTATCGCGTTTCACGATGTATTATATTTGTCGACACGCGACACATTTCACCGCGTAATTTATTTGTAGTTAGAGCGTACGCTACAATTTAAATAATTTCACCGGGCACAACGAGCAACCGCCGCCGGTTATGTACAACACGCGTCGCGCTTTGCGTTTTATATTTAACTACATTTTTCCCTTCGTGCCCGTTTTACGAATTGCGTAATCTACCGTCGCGCCCGCGCGAGAAACTTGTTTGAAGCGACTTACGTTCAGTTTATACCGTTGTAATTTTTATGCCGAGACCGGCTTACGAATTTGTTCGCATAAATCGCGAGAAGTGTCGGGAAAGTCGGCGTGCTAATTTACGCTTTTAGAAAATATTCCGTCGTTAAAGCGATCGTGCGAACCAGCTGCGGAAGTGCAACTCAGGAGGCCTAAACACTGCCCGAGCCGTTTTTCTTCTCTAGCCTAAATCACTGAATTAATGAAGCGATTCTGTAAGTGTGCAATAAACAGCGTAATTTTCTAGAGCCACTTGTTTACGTCCCTTATTTGGTAAGATGTGGAATTATTATCTCTTGAACACAGCTTTAACCCTTTCGGTACGAGCGCCGGATATATCCGGCATCTATCCGATGACCAAAATGGACGAGTGCCGAATACATCTTGCATCCGTGTGAGCCATATTTCTGACATATTAGAAATTATTCTAATGACCGTTTGAGTCCCAAGCAGCGCTATCGCGCATTTTTCGACCGTGTTTTCTGAATAATCTATGGGACCCAAACGGATAAAATCTTTTCTTACAAGGATTCCGAAAAAGCAGCTGCAGGTATAATTGTCGTTTGATCTGAATTGATTAAAAAAATTTCAGGTTACATTTTTCTTCGAAACTTGTTCATAGATTTTAACATATTGTAGGCCCTTCACAGATTGTTTACGGGAAACAAAAGATTTAAAAACGGATTAAGCACAGTCATCACTTAACGCTTAAGAAAATCTTCGTACAAAAGTGGACTGAACCTGCGTTATGTGCGCATTTTCGACGCGGCACCCCGAACAATGGGAGTGTCACGGCGGACAGCGCGCTCGTACCGAAAGGGTTAACACTCTTTTCTAAGGAAACGGAACCTGCGCATTTAAGGTGCACATGCGTGTACAAATATTTTTCTGAGATTTTCGGAATAAATGAGAAAGATGCTTTCGAAGATCGCGCAAATAATTCGACACATTTTTGCCGTATTTTTAATTCACAATGATCAAATATTATTGGATTATAAAATCCGGCCACAGGCTTGTGACGAAAATATCGAATGAAATTCTATCTTTTTTGTCATTGATATTTAAAATAATCGGGAATGAAAATCTAAGGCGAAGCGAAGTTTCAACGGAGATTATTCACCTTGCTCGGAATTAATAGAACGATCTATGAAACTGTGTCAAATCGATGCCAAAATGAGAGCAAGGAAATCGTATTTAGCGAGGTTAATATCCCCCAGAAAATATCAGTCGCATAATCGACCAGCAAAGACAGCATATTTTCCGATATACTTTTGGCTCGCCATGAACCCGTAATTCCATTATCGTCGTTAAAACACCGTGGAACAGAATGGAACAAACGTGCGAAGCGACAAGAAGCGAAGCGGAATGGGCGGCGCGAGTCGAGCAGCACAAAAATGTACGTTTCAGCTTTCTATATCGAATTGTCCGATAACAAACAATGCCTTTCATTTCTTCGGCACTCGACGTCTCGCTCGGTCGGCGAAAGCTCGGCCCGCGGCCATTGTGCCGTTCGCGTCGAGAGCCGAGACCCATGCTAAAGCGATCGCCGCGCGGCGACGATTAATAATTTACCGCCGCGTCCGTCAACGATATCGATCAACGGATCGAGATTTAACGACGCGCGCGATGTTTAGACTCTCTACGCCCGATGGATTATCACTGTAAATACTTTATCGCAGATTCGACCGTGCCGGGCAGGAAAGGGCCGAATGTCCGAATCTGATCAATGGTGCGCACCACGTGGAACGCGAGCATAAGCGAGCATACTCGCCCCGACTGGCTCGGAAAATTAACAATTTTGTAATACGCGGTCGGAACGGCGTTCCGCAACAAGCAGAAGCGGGCTGTGACCATATACATACCTACCGTTTACTGCACAATCATTTCAATAATACTCGGGCGTTACAGCTTTTCGTTTTATCGGGCGCAGTGCGTCGCAACGGATAGCCGCGCGCGTATCCGCCGTGGAAAATTATCGTACGGAACGATAAACCGGCGTTTGTCTGACGTTTATACCCGCGATAAAGCCTGCTCTTAATAATGCTCGACGTTATTTTTAATTTTTGACCGTTGTTTCGTGAGTGGATCGCGGATTTTATGCATTCGTGACAAAGATGCGTACCTAGCTGCGGTTCGAAACAGTAGGAAGATTAAAAGCATTTAATGCGTTACTTGTGGTCTACTAAAATAATTAAATAGAAAATGAAGCTTCTAATTGATTCTTTTTGCACGAAGATCCGCGGACTAGTTCTAACAAACTCTAAAACAAAAGAGAGGAAACACTTTGGTCCGTAAAGAGCTGAACCGAAGATTCATGTCGGTGGTTCCCATAAATCTAGTATTAAAACCGCGTGATCCATATAATTACGTGTCGGAATAATTTGTCAATTCTTGAGAACAAATTTAGAAGAGTAGTCAAAAGGCATTATATATTCTTTTTCATTTGTTCATCACATTACATAAATTGTTTCGGTATTACGAGTTTTCGAGGTTACTGGTTAATGCCCACAATATTTGCAGCTCAGACTGCAGATTCTATGCACTTATGGGAGAGTTGAGTATTTATAATTCAAAATACTAGAAAGATTAAAAGAATGATGAAACGTTCGCATGTTATTCTGAGTCGACTAAAATTATTATTGATAGCAAGGACTCGCTATTTCGTTTTCATTTCTTGCAATTGATGCGGACAATATTTATCTTGCGTAAATATCCACAGTCCATTTATAATATTTAATCCAATATTCCAATATAATCCGATGCGGTTTTGCGATATTTTGCCAAGAACGACTAAATATTGCTAAAAGAACGAACCCGGCTATATGTATAGGCAAGAGTTAAGGGTTGACGCGAATAAACGAGAAAATCGCAGCAGAATGTCGGGAACTTTGGGAGCACCGATACCAGATACCGAATCGTTTCTAGTGTTAATCCCCGGCGGAGGAAAAAAGAAAGGATCGATTCGGGAGCGAGATTGGACAGTGTTTAAAACAGCCGGTTAACAGAATGTAAATGCGGAGGGACCCGCACCGGTACATCTGTCCCCTTCCCCGAGTATACGCGGCATCCGTAGTTCGCCTTTGACCGGCCTATTAGGCAAGTTCTGGAGAACACGGTCGAACGTCAACGAGGAGGAACGTCAGCCTCGTCCCAGATAACGATAGCAGAAGTGGTAGGGTAGTCAGTTTTGCGATGCAGGGGCGCGCGCGAGTCGAAAGTTCGCTCGGTGGAAACGGCCGATAAACCGGACCCGGTGACAAGAGAAGCGGCATCCTTCTGTCCTTTCGCTCCAAACAACCCCTAGCCTTGTTCCCAACCCACGCCGGAGGCCGTTCGACGGCGACTTCGTCGTCTACGAGCACACCGTGAACAACGATTAACCGGTTATTGCCTTTTTTTAACGGTGTTTCAGGCATGCTATGCGTCAGGAGACCGGAAACCGACGTTCCCGCGGAAGATGACAGGGTTAAGTAGATAAAAGGAGTAGCTGGTTCCATCGACGGACGATTCATCGCGTTTCCCATGCAGTGCACAATGCTCTGCCAACGCGCCCTTCTCTTTCTCTTTGCTGTCAACGTGCCAATTGGTGAGTAGAATCGAATTAATTCCTCCTTAACGTTCCGAGATTTTATTAAAGTATTCGCATGTCTTTTAAAACGCAATAACTTTTTGAAAACCAGACGACTTGAAAACCAACGACTTGAATTGCTTTTTTAGATGTTAAAAGGTCTGCGGTCTACTGGACAATGGCTAAAATACATCTTTCTAATTTTATCATTACTTGAAACGACGAGAAAGATAAATTCACGTTTTTTTTTATCATTTTATCCGATAACGAACGTTTGAAACACGCGTTTTGTAGATCCCGGTAACTGATACGCATTCTGTGAATTTTATCGAAATTTCTTGCTTCAGAATATCGGTTCGATTTCGGAATTTATATTTCGAAATGAATCAAGTCAACAGTGACAATATTCTGTTCATATGAATTGAAGGCGAACGTTGTTTATCAGTTGTGAATATTTAACCATTTATACGAACTCCTGCAATATAGATGATTAAATTTCACGCTGAAAATAATGAAAATTAACTTTTGTGAGCGTAGTCCGCGAACAACTAATAACGCATGAGGTAATTATAATTTTTGCGAATTTCGAATTAGCTCGCGTAGACAATTTTTAGCTAGCAGCGGTGTTTACGATTTTAATTGCTTCGCGAAAAAGAGAGAAAATTAGAAAAAGTTTCTTTGCGCAAACTTTATTGCATTGTTAACGTAATTAAAAAATTCTCTCGTGCTCGAGTATTATAAATTTAATTGTTTGTTAAATTGTGTTCACGTTCGGTAACGAATATTTTTGTGTAATTTAAATTATATAATAGTATTAAAGAATACTGAACATGTTTGAACGAAGTTCGCGCAAATCAAATACAGCCATATAAATCAAAACTAGAAAGTCTGATCTTTCGGTGTATAGAACGTAGGCAGCCAGTTCCGTTTAATATTTCAAAGAATAGAGAGCAGATAGAAACACGACAATTGCTCCCTTTGTGGAAAGTACAATGGGCAACGTCATCCAGTACAAACAATCGAACTAATCGTAATTCTACACTTTTATTCACTACGGATTGCTATATTCATCCATATTTACGTTTCATCGACAACCTGCAGGAATTATGCAGTCTACTCGATAAAAGACAAAGGTCTTTTGTCCGTACAGATTATTAAAATTGTCCACGCATACGTGCCAGCGTGTGAGTGCCTTTTTCATTGGAATCGATATCTGTGATTTTAAGCTTTCAAGCTTTGTGTTGGGCGAAATAGTGGCGCGTTACTCTCCGGAGATCTTTTATGAGAAATTTCGATTCGATTGCTCCCTCTTCGAACGTTAAATGAATGCTTTGCGAGCGAGCCTCCAATTTGTAGCCGCAACGCGATGCAAAGAGAAAGTTCCACCGCAGCTTTGCCGAACTTTTGCTGTCAATTAATTGGAAAACCTCAAGAAACGAGTATTTATTTTAGAAGCTTCAAGAAGTCTTTGCTGTTATTTCTTATAGGAAATCACCGCAGACTTTGTTTAAGAAAAAGTATATTTTCTATTAGTCACAGCAATTGATAAAAATCTTCGGTACTTTCGACGGAACACAGACAATCTTTTTTACTTTAAGTTTATGCTCGACTTTTACACACGCGTTTAATATTCTTTTATTAAAATGAATAAATATTCATTATTTTGTAAAATCTTTCAGTAATTAAAACGTAAGTAAAAAAGATTATCTATTAAATTAATCCTTTCGTTGACATGAATCGGTTGATACTTTTTTGCAAAGAATATTAAGATCCATTATTCGATGCGATAAAACAACTATTAACGTCGATTCTAGTGAGTCTGTTTTCGCTAACAATAACAACAGTAATTCAAATCGAAATATGGTGAACCAGCTTGTACAATAGAACCACCCTGTCTTGGTCGCGAGAAGGCTAAACGTTACTCGTTCGCATAATACGGTAAACGTTCGTTCGCTGAAGTATGCTCATCGAACAGATCACTCTGCGTAAACATTATATTGGCTGTCATAATCGAGTGACGCTAAGCAACGCCGACTTTATCCATAGGCCGCGATCCACGCAAACCTCCGCAATCGGAATAATTGCTAGGATGTTCATATAAAATCGGATAGATCGTTTGAAATATGCAGGCGAAACCTCGCGGCGCGTCGGCGCTCGGTCATCAAACATTTCTCGCGTGTATGCCTCGAAATTGGAAAGCAATCGGCGAACAGGCCACCCCTTGCCCCCTTGCGAAAGCAGTTAGCTCCCTAATTTCGCAGATCGCCGGGGCCCGGGGAATTGGATATCAGTTCGCATCGCAGTTCGCGGATTGCGATCGACACAGTTTGCTATAGGAAGATCCGTTGTACGTTGACGTCCGATGCAGATGCGGCAACGGAGAAACGGTGCCAAATACGTGTTCCAGGGAGGATACGCCGGATATGGCGGGTGCTGCCGGGTGCCATGCCGGCTACCGGCAGATACCCTCGGATACGCTCGGATACGGTCAACTTCTGGCCCTGATGTTTAGACGGTGAAAGCGAGTAGAACCGGCGCGGCGACTGGAGTTGTCGTTCGCGAATTAATTTACCGTTTCCGGGGACTCGAACCTTCATCTCTTCACGGAGACGTAGAGGACCTGCCCGAGAATCTCGCGGCCGTGTCCTTCGGGTCCTCTTTCCACGGGAATTCCGCAGCGGATCCGGGTGAATTGCGTGGAACTCGAATCGAGTGCCTTTACCTCTCCATCTCTCTTCCTCTCTCTCTCGCTCTCTTAGCAAAACCAGACTTCTGTTGGTTATTTAGTTTTGGGATCATCATATCAAGGGTTCGCCTTCTACGTAGCTCAGAGCGCAGTCAGGTGAATAGCCTTAGCGAACCACGTTCCTGCTGTCGACCAGTTTGTACCTTTGTGTCGTTAATCTCCTATCGTCCGAATTCTCTACATGAGTAAAGAAAATGGATTCGAGGCGAGTAAATATTCTTCTCGAGATCTAAATTAACCCGGCAGCAATCTTTATTTTCAAATTATTAGCTGGATTTAAACAGAATGACGATGATAATAATACTAATACTAATACTAATACTAATACTAATACTAATACTAATACTGATACTAATATACTAATACTAATACTAATATACTAATATACTAATATACTAATATACTAATATACTAATATACTAATATACTAATATACTAATATACTAATATACTAATATACTAATATACTAATATACTAATATACTAATATACTAATATACTAATATACTAATATACTAATATACTAATATACTAATATACTAATATACTAATATACTAATATACTAATATACTAATATACTAATATACTAATATACTAATATACTAATATACTAATATACTAATATACTAATATACTAATATACTAATATACTAATATACTAATATACTAATATACTAATATACTAATATACTAATATACTAATATACTAATATACTAATATACTAATATACTAATATACTAATATACTAATATACTAATATACTAATATACTAATATACTAATATACTAATATACTAATATACTAATATACTAATATACTAATATACTAATATACTAATATACTAATATACTAATATACTAATATACTAATATACTAATATACTAATATACTAATATACTAATATACTAATATACTAATATACTAATATACTAATATACTAATATACTAATATACTAATATACTAATATACTAATATACTAATATACTAATATACTAATATACTAATATACTAATATACTAATATACTAATATACTAATATACTAATATACTAATATACTAATATACTAATATACTAATATACTAATATACTAATATACTAATATACTAATATACTAATATACTAATATACTAATATACTAATATACTAATATACTAATATACTAATATACTAATATACTAATATACTAATACTAATACTAATACTAATACTAATACTAATACTAATACTAATACTAATAATAATATAACGCATAGCCTTGTACTTTTTATAACATTATTGACAAATGTATTATTTGAATTAAATGCTTCCTTATTAAAATTACTTTTTGCATCATTTTCTTGACGAAATTGATTGATGTATGTAATATCCCACCAGACTTATCAAGTCACATTTTTGCACTGGTCCCGTGTTAACGACGATTTTAATATGTGCAAACATTCATTACTTTTGCCACATTGTTACTAAAAATTGAATTAAATTAGATGTGACTTGGTTTGGATTTTCGGTCACATTTTTCGCGATTTTAAGATTATCGGTGTCTAAATTTGTTGTAATTCAAGACCACGTGAAGGTCATGGTATTATGTATGTAGCTCATTAGGTAGGTCTTATACTCCGATTTGAAATGAAATAGCAAAAGATAAAACCCTGAGAAAACCTTTCGTTTATCATAACATTTGATCTTTCAAACCCAACAATACTTCAGAACAGGTCACACTGTTGCAAACAAGTAAAACAAGTAAGCCAATAATTCATCAAAATATTTTTGTTCTCAAGGGCTACGTGCCTCTGTTAAGCGCACGGTAAACCAGCGTTACAGAAATAATTAAACAAGTTCGCGTTAACTATCTCTTACCTGTTCACATCACGGATACGCGGCGGAGCACCAGGTCAGGTTGATAGAAAAATAATTGAATAAGTTTTGTCACCGGCTACCGGCTCATTGGCTCACGGCCAGACCCGTTCTCGAATAGAGTTAGGGCGGATTTAGTTACAACGCGTGTCGAGAACGTTTTATGACGGTGCAAAGTGTGTTGCGGGTTCGCTGAGATACGGAAATTTTCACGGGGATCAGAACGTGTCGGATATCAGCTACAATACACGACGTTTAATAACAATTTTTATCGTGGTATCGTTTCACCTTTTCCCGAGCAGACAATTTGCAACTAACGAGTTTACGTTCCTCTGCAAATTGCTCCAAGATGGGACTGTATCGATTAAGAGTATTGTCCTTTATTTTCAAAATTTTTGCGAGCGTTGCTTGCCGTTA